TTCAAAGGCAATGACTACATTTTAAATGCAAACTTTTACTGTTCTATTGGTTCATGTGGTCGGTTGATGTGCTCAAACTATATTGCTATCGTAATATAGATCTATTAAAGATCTGCAATCGGTCTCTAGAACTTATGATTTGTCTGACAGATCTTCAAATTATCGATGTATTTCTGCAATGGAAATGTTCGTAATAATAATCATCTTACAGTTGCTTTTTTAGCTCCGGGGAATCCTGGGGCGTGTTTAGTTGATTGACCATGCGCTGCATCGTGGACACTGCGAAAGAAACAGAAACCCACATTAGTCATAGGCGAAAGTCGGCAACTGCTACGTCACTTACCATTCTGCTGCACCTTCTGGATGCTGGTGGCTATAATCTGGGCCAGCCTTTGGAAATCTATTTCGCTAAGACCACCCCCTCCGCCCCCGCCACTTAGGCCATTCTCCATATGCTGCAAGTCCATGCTTTCGTAGGCAGACACTTTGGTGACCTTCGAGTTATCGCTGGAGACAAGGTGTTCCTGGAGACAGCGAACAAGGCAGACAATCGAATTAGCTCTGTGGCCCACTTATTGATATATTCACTTTTTATGCGTCTCAGCCAAGTTCTGGGTTCTATATTCGTGTTTGTTTGTTATTTTGTCGTTTGTTCGTTTGTCGGAATGTTTGCACTTCACATTCTCTTTGTTTGCTGCACAACCACCCACCTTTTGTGGTTGCCCTAGCTGTCGTTGGTGACCTTCGCCTATGACCTTGATCTTAGAGCATTTCCTTCGCACTTTTTACGCGTTTCGCAATCTGTAATTTGTTGATTTAAGTCCGCGGAATGTTCGCAAAACTGAAATTTTAGCTAGGTTTTTACAACAATTGGAACTGAACTGCCAACTTGCCAGAAATTCACTTTTGATTAACACCTAAAAGTGCCATAGCGCGTGTTTTTTGCAGCACGTCTTTGCTAAGCTTTACAGCACTAAAATGATATCGATTTTTGGCGCGGCATTCGAATAGCACATATATAAAACTAAACAATTTTATTTGTAATCTACTTTCCATATTTTTTCTTAAAAATCTAAATAAACCTTTCTAACTATTCAAGATTGATCCTTAGATATGGAACTTAGATATGAACTACTTATGTACTGTTTAAAATTATTATTTACTATGTTACAACTATTTCTTCAAAATTAAAATGTAAGTTTAGAAAATGCCGTATATAATTGCCAATTGCCAACAGCGATACCTTATAAAAACATAGAAACCAGTTTTTATTCCATTCTATAAATACATCCCAAATTTAGTAAATTTAGAATAAATATACAATATTTTTTGCTCATCCAAAATGCCTTTTAAATCTTAAAATTTAACATTGTTCAACCCAGGATACAAATTTAATTAAAACCTGTTTAGCAGAAATAAATTTGAAGATATTACTTTCCATCAAAAAGTCAATCAAGTGGTAGACAAAATAAATGCATCCCGTGGATAGCAACAAAAGCAATAAATTATAATTAGTTCAGTATATTGGAGATTATTATCAGTGTCTGTGTTAGGCAGGGTTAACGAACTTTAATATATTTGAATGAACAAGGCTGATTCGATGCATCCATCCACTAATTACACAATCTCCTACTGCGATGAAAGATTTTATGCAAATGACCTATGCAACCTGATTTTTGGAGAATAACAATTTCAATCTCAGCTGTGTTTGCTGCATAATTTAAATAAGGGCATCCATGCCTTCCTTTCATCCCGAAATTCCGGTTGGTAAGTATATTTAGAAGCTTTCTAATACAGGGACGGGTTTTAATTTATTGTCTCAGTGTTCTTGGCAATTCGACTCGCATTTTCGTGCCCTGTTTTACCGGGATTGTATAAATAAGCCTTCCATTCCGAACTGCCGCTTAGTCGATCTGCAGACCTCGTAACGCCCCGACCAGTCGAAAGTTAGTTCATCAAAATTCGGTGCGATGCGTGCTCTCAGGTTCTTTGCGGCTCTTGCCCTCCAACTCACGGCGTGTAGCAGCCAGTACAAATATGGGCCAGGTGCGTAACGACAAGATCAAGACCAAGATCAAAAACGGGCCCAGAAGACAAGAAATAAACAAGTGAAAAAAGAGTGAGAGTGTGCCAGGCCGAAAGCAAACTCAAAACATATGCAAAATTGATTAATCAAGTGCTAAACGGAGTATAAATGGCGTCAGCAAAATACTCGTAAATTTAATTAAATATTTGACAGAGCTTTTAAATACCTCTTTTTCCTAATAGAACGTTTTGACAAAACTGGATATAAAATGAATATTTTAAAGTAATTTAAATGTTTAATTTCCATAGGTTTCTTTCGGGCTTCTATTAAATTACTTTCTTCTGAAAGCAATTTCCATTTTTAATGATTAATTCGAAAGTGGAGTTGAAAACAATGGCAATTGTGTTTGTGTTTTTGTTTTGTAAAACGACACATGTGCTTGGAATTTATAAATACTTGAGGTTGTACCTGTAATGTGTAAGAATTTCAGCTAGTAATAAAAAAGGTTTCAATAAATCTGAGTATTATCAATTCTCAATTTGTATTTTAATAAGGTTGAACTTATGTATATCCCTTTCAGAGCAATCCTGGGACCTGGACTCCATTGTCGAGTTGAAGAGCAAAGAGTTTTGGTTCCACGACGCCCAGCGCACGCTATACAATAAGCTATCGACTCCACCAAATCAGTACCGTGCCAAGAATGTAATCTTTTTCCTGGGCGACGGGATGTCCGTTCCCACAGTAACCGCAGGAAGGATCTTCGATGGACAGCTACGTGGAGTGGTGGGTGAACGGAATCGCCTGGAATTCGAGAAATTCAACTACGTGGGTCTGTCAAAGGTACGTATGTTCTCATTACAACCAGTAATAAAAAAAAAATTCCCACCTCCCCATTAACAGACAGAAGTTAAATAAAGCCAATACTAATATAATTATTTTTCTTTGCTAAACCAGTTATTTATAAAAATATAATATACAAAAGCCTTGCAATCAAAACATACCTTATAAGCATCTTTTATATTTATTATATAGTGTATATTGTACTAGTAAGAAGTGCTTGTTTGAAGTCCACAAATTCTTTTGCTATCCCAATAAATTTCAGATCAATTTAGGAACTCTCTTATCATCCTTTTTTTTATTGTAGACCTATTGCGTCAATAAACAAGTGGCTGACTCCGCCTGCACAGCGTCGGCCTATCTGTCCGGGATCAAGGCGAACTATCTGACCATCGGAGTGACCGCCGATGTGGAGTTGAATGACTGCAGGGGATCGCGCTTGCCACAGAATAGGCTCTCTTCCATCGCCGCCTGGGCGCTTAAGGGTAGCAAATCCGCCGGATTGGTGACCACCACTCGGGTTACCCACGCCAGTCCGGCCGGAGTTTATGCGCACACCTCGAACCGCGATTTCGAGAGCGACTACGACGTGACCAAATTGGGTCAAAATCCGGGAAATTGTCCGGATATCGCCCAGCAATTGATAGACGGAGAGGTGGGCAAGCGATTGCGGGTGGTTATGGGAGGTGGGACCATCAAATTCCTGCCCAACACCACGACCGATGTGTATGGATACAAAGGTCAGCGGTTGGATAACAGGAACCTCATTGAGGAATGGCAACAAACCAAACCAGGTAATGCTAGGGTGGTGTTTAATCGAACGGATCTCCTGAAAAATGATCCGCAGAACACTGACTTCCTGCTGGGGCTCTTCAATGCCTCTCACTTGGCGTACCACATGGACGACAGCATAGACACACCCACCCTTCCAGAGATGACGGCGGCGGCCATTAATGTCCTTTCCCGCGATCCAAATGGGTATTTCCTTTTCGTGGAAGGAGGTCGAATCGATCATGCCCATCACGAGACCAAGGCCAAGAAGGCTCTGGATGAGACCGTCCAGTTTTCGGACGCAGTAAGAAAAGCACGTCAACTCACAAATCCCTGGGACACCTTAATCGTGGTGAGTGCGGATCACGGACACACGGTCACGATCAGCGGCTATCCGGATGTAAACAACAGCATAGTAGGACTCAATTCCGAGCTGAGTAATGTGGACCAGCTGCCCTACACGGCCATCTCATATGCCAACGGCCCGGCCTACGAGAGATTCTACAAATCGTCGGACGGATTGGTGGAGCGCGTAGATCTCCGCTCCCTGGACTTTTCCAATCCGGATGCCATGTATCCACATGGAGTGCCCATGACCGAGGAGACTCACGGCGGTGGCGATGTGGCCGTCTATGCTCAAGGTGAGTTGAAATTCCATATTTTCCAGTTTATTGTGTATATCAGGTTGAAATTAGCTATATAATCAATAATCCCTACAAACAAAAAGAAGAACTTTTGAAATGTATAATGTTTCTGTGATATCTACTTTAAGGTCCATGGTCTCATCTCTTCACTGGAGTTTACGAACAAAGCACTTTGCCTCATTTAATGGGCTTTGCTTCTTGCTTAGGACCTGGAATTACATATTGCGATCTGCAGCCAAAAGCGAGATACGCTCCATGGAAACTAGCTAGGAATTAATTGAAACTGTTTAGCATAAGATATTAAGAGTGAAGAGACTTTAATAAAAACATGCCTACAAAATTAATAAAATTAACACGTAGTCAAAACCTTTTTCAAAAGTGTAATCTCGACTGAGACAAACTTACACTTCGCCAGAGTTTCTAGAATCTGCATATTTAATCTTACCTTTCTATATATGTAGTTCCCGAGATCTCGACGTTCATGCGGACAAACATAGCCAGATCGGCTCGCCTAGTAATCATGATCAAGATAATATATAATTACTATATCGGAAACGCGTTTTTCTACCTGTTACTTACTTTTCAGCGTATCTAATATATATTAGTAGTATGTGCGTATATAGACAAGTAATAGGTGTGAAAATAAAACAACTTATTAGTTACAGTTCCACTTAATATCGATACTATCGCATAGGTCAAAATACCGTTATATCCTTAGTATCGATTGTTTTACTTTTTAGATATGTTTAGGCGGTCTATCAACGGTCACACTTGAATTATCACCGGCAAAATAAAACAAATTGCGTTATAAAAACTTTAGAAACTCTAGCGTAATTACTGCTGATGCGCTGTGATGTTCACCCCAAATAATGACATAACGTCAGTTCTCGTCTAGATGGTGAACCGAATCCTGGACCTGAAAACCTAAAGATCAGCTAATAGCCACCGGTATTGAAATGTGTTCCAATGAAGAAGTATTGTTGAGTTTCACAACAAACTCAGGTAGCGTACATACCAACATAAATCCCACAACGGACGTCGCAGAAATTGTCTTGCCGCCGGATTCGGACGTGGAAATGGTCTCCGTCAGGTCAGATGCCGAATCAGATACCAAATCAGACACCAAAACATGCGCTAAATCAGATGCCAAATTAGATGGTAAAGCGAAATTAGAGTCACGAGCCAAACCTAAGGCGGACCAGGTGGAGGCTAAAAAGAAGCGCCTCAAGAGGACCAAGGAATGTCATGCTCCGCCGAATGATACTCCCCAGAAACTCAACTGGAAGTGGAACCTGCGGATCTTGATTTCAAATCTGTTCATGAAGACCGAGGACCGTCTTCCGGGAGCATGTGTTCCCAAGTGCCTTTACAATACTAGTCTGTGCACGGAAAGACATCGGTGCTCCTTTCTTCCGGATGGACCAAACTTTACGGCCGTTCAGGCGCTGCGAACCACGTTGCATGGTCAGCACTACGATACATTCCTGGACATTCTGGAGATGATGGTGATGCAGGGTGTCTTCCCAGGCGAAGGAGTATTTGACAGACTTATAGATATGACCATGGTTAATTGCTTAGTTATCTGTTGTCAAATTGTAATAATAGTATAAATCCCTTATGCAGATCCTAATTGCCAAAGAGATAAAAGTGAAAGAGCTGGGCGACACCTACAACAAACTTATACGCACATTCTTTCTTCTGGTAGACGCCTTTCCTCCCTGCTGGACAGCTCTCCGTCCTTACTACTTGAGCTTTCTGGACATCAAGAGTCCTGCCTTGCGAAAAAAATGTATAACCGATTCTCCCCAAAAGCTGCAGTTTTACCTGGATCTTTTTGAGGAAAATCTCACGCATTGCAGCGATGAAGAGATACGGGAAAATACAAAATTCTATGAAAAGTTTGTGTTCAACTTCTCGGAAGAGGAGGATGCGAATATGTCACAGGAGACGGTCTTCTTGCGGCATGTACAGCAGTATGACTGGCTGAGTGGGAAGCTTTGCCTGGATGACTTCAAGATAATGTCACCCGCAGTCAGATTAGCACGACTCTGTGATGTCCTAAATATGCTCACGTGGGTACTGGAAATGGAGTTCCTCTCCTGGCTGGATCATAACAGGTTTAGGCAGTCGGAATCGGAGATGTTTCTGGAGAACTTCAAGCCATTTGCTTCGATTGTATTTGGAATGTCAGCAGAAACGCGTCTCACAGACATTGTTAGGCAAATCATGAGGCTGTATGGACAGGTGGTGGCCAAGTCCATGTACCCAGAACGCCAGAGGATTCTCCAGGTAGTTTGTCATGTTTTGATTTTAAGGCTTTCTTTAAACATTTTCGTTCTTCTAGCGCCTTGTTTCCCTCATTATCGAAGTAAGCAACACGGCCGAGCTAAAGTACGTGGATAATGCTTTGATCTATCCAAGCCTGGGACCCCAAACCCGTCTGCTCATCGCAGACTTTTTCAAGATTTTTAAATCACAGAATTCCAAACTGATTAGCACCTATCTAAAGACCATTCCGCAGTTGGACCACCCATATTTCCGCTACGAGTTCACAGACCACTTTTTAAAGTTGTTTTCCTTTCCCAAAAAACTTCAATTTGGACCGGAGAAGGTGGTCGGCGAATTCACAGCACGCCAATGGATGAAGTACAAACTAAAAAGTGAGATTGAAGATGAAGACGATGAGCAGTTGTCTCGTGAGGATTACCTAGCATTACTTCTTAGCGCCTTAAAAGACTACGACAAGTGGTTAAATCTTAGTGGCTTCTGGAAGTATCTAAAGAGCAAGGAGCTCGTGCAGCCGTTGACTGCGAGGATCAGTCCTGGGGTTGAACGCGAAGCGCCAAAGGTGTTCAGGCTAGATGCGTTGAAAGAGGAAGTACCCACCTGGAACGCGCGCATGAGCACTAAGGTAATTATAGACCGGCCCAAGGTGAATCTGCCGGTGGTCAGAATCCATATGGCTAAGATGTGTGTGCGCTATGGCGAGGATGTGCGACAGATGAGATTTTTGAGACGACTCCTTCAAAACGAAGTTTACAAGGAGGTCGATGTGTCGGAATGGTTAATCTATCTGAACAACTTCCTGGGCGATGACCAGTCGACGTCTCCCCCAGACTCTGCACCTTCCTCCGAATCTGGGCAGATCTGATTGATCAAAAATAATGATATACCCAAGGCTCAATTATGTTTAAGTTTAAACTTACTTATTTTAAGCTTATGAAAAACATCAGTGTGTGAAAAGTTTGTTTTTTTTTTCTTGCGGTAACTAATTTTTATCTAAATGGTTTTAAATAAGAATGCATTTGATTCATTGCCATTTGTCATAATTTCCGTTTCTATATTTCTCCATTGCAAATATATATTTATGCTGTAACTAAATACACAATTACGTACACATTTACATATAAATACAGCTACTGCGCATGTACATATGTACATACATTAATAAATATATATGTGTATAATTATACAATATTATCGCGATTCGTTTTTAAGCCTTTTGCTTGTTGGTTTTTTTGCAGTTCCTCATCCTTCTGCCACCTCGATTTGCCTAACGTTTCTTGTCTTTGTTCATTGTATGTCTAAATTCTTTGCAGTTTTAAGTTTTACACACTCAACTATCATTAAATTAGGCTCTTAAATGCTAGTCTCACTACGTCACTTATATGTAATGTATATGCATACGCTGGGGAGGGTTGGAGAAGCTGGGTGCAGAGCTCAGATTTTGAAAATGCCAGAATCCGATCTGCATCCAATATTAGGCTTTCATTTTAAATTCTCTAGGGATCTTAGATCCTAGTGACGATCTGCCTTGAGGGCTTCAAGAGATATAGTACGGATTCAAGCGTTGCTCATATCATTACTCTGCTAGGTTGGGATTTCGGTTTTTCGTTTTTGCTGTCTTGCATTTAATTTGTTAACACTACACATTTATCAACATTTATTTAGTATTCATTCCATATAGGCTAGGTTTCTTTGAATGTATTTCCACTTCCCGGCTTGCAATTGATTCGTATACATTTGGGGACTTCCGTTTTTGTTGCGCTTTGAAATCTATAGGAACTTGATACAGGAGTCTTTTCTGTTTGACCCTTGTTGCAGTTTTTAAAGGTATTTAGGCGACCGGGGATTGAAAACAAAGGACAATCGAGCTGCGAGGAAACCAAGGGTTACGTAAAATAATGGGGTAACATAAAAAGTCACATGTTGTATTTTTAGAAAATATTATTTTCTCTTTTAAAAAGGTTTTCGTTTACAATTTAGTTAAACTCTCTCCTTAACGCCGCTGCTTTCGCTTTATACATACAAATTGGAGTTGGGCTTTGTACAGAACTTGTTGCTTTCCTATTTCACAATCGTAATTAGTTATTAATTAATTAGCGTTACTTTTTGTTTACTTCATTAACTAATATTTAAACGAGGGCTAGCGTGACAGCTTTTGTGTTTCCAAATTATGCCAATGCTGAAATTAAAACTACTAAGACTAATCAATTAAAATTAACAAAACGCTGATTTTAAAACTATGGCTCTCTCGGGACTAAGAGCTAATTAGATAGTTTCGACCACTTAACACTATTAGAATTTTTTTGTTTGCCGTTTTCTGTTCAGGATATTTTGTTTTAGGTTTTTCGGATAAGATTACGAAGTTAAATAATTAAGCTATTAATTTTATAAACAAATTGTATTTGTGTTAGCCCAGACCAAAACACGCCCTTGCAAGATGGCGAAAAAACGTCGCCAACTTTGAGTTGTACAACAATTTTTCTTAAACTTTAAATGCTAAATTAAACAATTTAAAAGTGAGTCGGATCAACAAATTTAAAATCTGAAACGGGTTCGCACTTTGGGAAGCATTTAAGTTAAGTTTCTCTTACACACAATGACTTTTAGCTTGTTACGGGTTTAGTTTTCTTTTGCTATTAGCAAATTATTTTCACTCTAGTTAGGGTTAGGATTATTTAAGTGAGTAGAGAGTGGTTTAATCTATTTCCGGGGCTGAGAGCGTGGTGAATGTGAGATGGGGTGCGCTGCTATAGAGACAACTCTCTGCTAAGGTCTTTCATCTGGTTTTTAGTTTAGCTTTACTATTATTTTAGTATTTCTGTTTCTGTTTGCGGTTTGTGTTCTCTTTTTTGGGAGCTCTGGGTGCTGGTGTTGGCGCCTTTCGTTTAGCTACTTTTGAAGCGTTTGCTATACATTCATCTTGGTAAGTTCTTAGTCACACATTTAAACCTTAACAACAACAACAATGTTCGCTACAATTAAACAACTAACAACAACGTAAGCGTACACACCAAACATGGCTCACTTCTGGCTCGATCGCTGCTCCTCTTTCTGCTCCTGAATTTCCACTACATCCGCTTCCACTTCCGACTCCACCTCCTGTTCATCCACATTCTCCTCCTTGAGCATGTACTCGAGGAGCAGCTCATCGACTCATCCCTCGCGTTGCGTTTCCGCCGCCGCTGACGTTGTGGCTGTGCCACCATTCGATGGTGACTCCACCTTGATCACTCCAAGCTGCTGCAGTTCCTCGCGTGTGTGCTGGATGCGGCCCACCACAACGCCACCCATGGTCACAAAGCTCCCGTCCGCCGTAACAGCACCTAGTTGCATAGCGCTGGACAAGTCCCCTAGAGCGGCCACATTAAAATGATGGTGCGGCGAGCCATCCTGAATGTGTTGGTGCTGCTGGTGGTGCTGGGCCACTGTCGTGGCGGAGGGCAACGTGGTTATGGTGACTCCTCGCTGGTCGATATGCTGCTGCTGCTGGGACGGAGGCGGAGGGTGGTGCTGATGCTGCTGCTGTTGATGGTGGTGCTGGTGTTGCTGCTGCTGGTGCTGATGGTGGTGTGCCGCCAACGGCATTCGTCCTAGTCACCCCTCCTCCTCCTCTGTTTTGATCTTAACAGGAACGTAGACTTTGTCCATGACATGGATCTTTATGTGGTTGTTGAGCGTGCTGGACTGTCGGAACTGCTTCTTGCAGATGACGCACTCAAAAGGCTTTTCACCTGAAAAATAAGACACCATTCAGGTTCGCTCAAAATCGTAGAATAGCACACTTCATCACTCACCCGTGTGGATCTTCACATGGTTGGCCAGCGTGCTCAGCTGTCGAAAATGCTTGGGACAATAGTTGCAGTTATAAGGCTTCTCGCCCGTATGGATCTTCAGATGGTTCGTCAGTGTCGACGATTGACGGAAGGTCTTATCACAAACGTTGCATTTGTAGGGCTTCTCGCCAGTATGGATCTTCACGTGGTTGGTCAGTGTGCTTAGCTGCCGGAAGCGACGATCGCAGACGGTGCAGTGGAAGGGTTTCTCCGGCTCGCGGACAGCTCCCCCTCCGCCTCCGGTAGCGTTGCCCTCACCGGGATGCTCGCTATGTCCATTGGCCAGGTAATGCTCACTGTGGATCGTTGTCGGACTATGCGTGGTCAGGTGCGTCAGATGTGGAGGCGGTGGCGGCGGTTGTTGTTGCTCCGCCGCAGCAGCTTGAGCTGCTGCGGCCTGGGCAGCTGCCATGGCCGCTGCTTGGGCGGCACTATGCGCCTCTGCCGAGATCCCGTTTAAGTGCATCTGGAAGGGCAAGGGAAGTTCCGTGGGCGGTGGCGGCACAGAGGGTGGTCCGCTCGACTGCTGTTGCTGCTGCTGATGATGTTGTTGCTGCTGTTGTTGTTGTTGTTGCTGCTGCTGTTGGACCGCCGCCATGTGAGCCGGATGCGTGGCCTGGGTGACCGTCTCATTGTTATTACTGTTTGCTATGGTGGTTTGGGGCTGGGCGGCCACTATGACGATATCGCAGTTACTGCTCATCGCCGTAGCAGCGGCATGGGCATGGGGCAGGCTTTTGATATGCATCATGGACTGCTCTTGCTGGGATTAGGTAGTCTGGACTCGGGTTTCGGAGCTGGAGTTAAATCTGTTGGAATAGTGGAGGGAGACTGTGGTACCTCGGTGACTTAAACAGAAAGCTGACTAACAAACAATCGAGGCTTCAAAAATGCCACGACATGCTCATCTTGGGCGCTTCTCTGATGTTGTTGCTGCTAGTGCCTGGTTTTGGAGAATGGAGATTGGGATTAGTTTAGTCGGCGGCTTGGCTTTTTGGTATGCAAAAATATGTGAGGAATTCCCAAAACATACGAAATACCTAACTGCGGAATTATAAATCTAAATTATTCAATAGCTGACACACTTTGATAGCTGGGCTCCTAGCTCCACCTCCTCCCCTTGCAGCCCTCTTTTCATACATTTCTAATGTTCTTTTTATGCCCTTATTAGTGAAAAGGCTTGAAACCCATATTGTGTCCTAAAAGGCATATTACTCCTTTATCACCTTACAGATTTCTTAGGCAAGCTTCTCTGATCGTATTTATGTACATTATAAACATTGGACATAAATCCACATATATAGCGGATTTATTATACTACTACTACACGCTGACATATCTATATTTTTGCGTAAGTTGAATGTTTTTGTACTGTTTAACAATTATTAGAGTAATATTACACTCTTAAGATGCTCACATAATAATTTCGATGTGATCCAAATTGGATTACCATAAGCAGAATGCTATTCGATTTTATTAATTTTAAGGGTATCAAAACTTCGAATGAGCGGCATTATTATGCATTTTGAAACAAAATAAATACGCGCGCGCTGCCTGCAAGCATGTAACTTTTTATATATTTTTTGAACGCTGGTTTTTACGTCCGCCGGACAAGTTACCTGTCACGCCTCCCGCTCGCCCGACCCCCCTTCACACACACACACGCACGCAGAGGCCAACACAACACGCACACACATGGAGCACTCAGGTATCTCTCTTTTTTGTGTTGAATTGACAGCGTGTTACTTTCTCGCGAAATTACATGTGTTTTACTCGCAACTAAAGAAGTTACTGATAACATTACCAATTTGATATCACTCGAAACGGAGGAGAGATCGCCAGGATTCCGGACTGACCTTTTTTGGGCGGGCTTTTTGGGTGATATTTTCCCCTTTTTTCAAAAGCAGTTTTTCCACTAACACGTTGCCTTCAGATCGCCCCTCTCGCTCCCTTCTGCTCCTAAAAGTCACAACCACTTTCAGTCGCACACACATATGCACATACACTAGCACACACGTACACGTACTGTGTAAAAGCTCTTTTGAGGTTAGGAGACTTAATTTTGGAGCTCTCCCCCGAAAATGTCCATTGTTTTTCACACGCCTATAAGCCCTACTTTTACCAAATGATTCCAGATTGTAATTGAGTATTCTGAGAGACAAATTTGAACTCTCCTCGGTCGCCCACACATTGACCTACCTTTCCATTTTCTGGCTGTGTTTGTGGGGTCTTTCAGGTTTAGATTTCCCCCCGTTTTACATCATTTTCCGCACTCGAATCGGTTTTTTGGGAGATATGGGCCTTTCGCAGGGTGTTCGCGCTTTGCTTTCGTCTATTGGAATCGGGTCCTCACAGCATTATCTGTGGCTGGGTCTTCATTTATAAAAAGCGTATAAACGTTAGAAAAATAGTACAAATATTTTTTTCTTTTTTTACTGTTTCGCGTACAAAATAGACGCGAATGAACTAGTGCCAGTTGGTGATGGGCGATAGCTATTGGAGACCTGTTACTGATCACGAGTGTGATGGAATCACGATGACAGTGCTGACTCAATGGGAAAATTGGCATGAGAGATAAAAATTGGAAAAACATAAAGAATTATTTGGCGCCGTCATATTTTAATTTATTTTTTTCCAGAAGTGTATAATAAAATCACAAATACGTTGCCAACGTGACCACTCGTGACTATCGAGTTTGCCATCTCTACGCTGATGAACTAGTTCCACTGAAGGCATTCAGATAAGAACGTGCAAAGTTTTCTATGTTTTTGGGCGGTATTTTCCTTCCGCCGCAGTACGGTCACACTGCGCGGTGCAGTACTTAATAAGGAATTTCGCTTGCATTATTTTTTATTAAATTGTACTTCAAGACCAAATGCAATTGCTCAGAAAAGTGCTGGTGCAAGTTTTATAAAATCGTGCAGACCCGCGACGCCTGCGACTGATCGCCATGTGCCTGTCCATTGGTTAAGCTCAGCTCGCTGTTAACTTTGTTTGTATTTTTGTTGTGACTTCCAGCCGGCGGACGCAGTTCATCTGTTTGGAGGATAAGAAGGATTTGGGTAAGTATGTACTTAAAGATTTGTTGTACTTCGCGTCCATTAATAGGTACCTTCAATCCTGATCGCCTTTTCGTTACGGCACGAAAGCCTGTCCATCACCTGCTGCACGAATCCCTTAGCGTCTTCCTCTTTCTGTTGGGCCACAGCTTGGACATGGGAATTTGCCCTGAGTTGCATGGCCCGGATGTCCTCCTGCATTGCCTTCTTGCTGCGCTCTACCACCGCATCCAGCGAGTCCTCAAAGGGATTGCTGGGCTCGAAAATGTTGCCATTGCCATTGCCATTGCCATGTCCTGCGGAATTGTGGTTTGAGTTTACAGAGGCCGTTGTTCGTTCATCCTCCTCATTAGAACCCAACGTTGTTGTCGTCTTTGGTGCCCCCTCTTTATAGGACAAGTCGTCCTCGCCACGAGGTGTGGAGCATGGCGTGGTCTGTGGATCAGCCTCCCTGGCCGCTTTTATCTGAAACAATGAAGAGATGTTTTCCTTGGCGCCCAGCACTTCAGTAGAGATCTTGGTGGTCACCGAATCCATGGCCCTGCCCATCGAATCCTTTGTTTCCGAGGCAGCTTTAACCGCGTTAGTGCCCGCCTGCTCCACTGCATGTATTGCACTACTTCCTGCTTGCTCTACTGCGTGCATTGCATCGCTAGCTATCCGCTGGGCACCTTTACCCGCCGCTCCTACTGCTCCGCCCACGGTATCCACGGCTCCTCGAGCTCCAGTAGCCATTCGTTCGCCTACAGCCTCCATGGCATCACGAGCTCCATTTGCTGCATTTCTCACCGCTGTTTGAATCGAGTTACGCGTGGAGTCCATGACATCCACCGCTTCTTCGCCGGCTTTGGACGCCGACTCTTCAGAGTTCGTCAAAATTTTGTCAACTTGTTTCTCCACCTGCTGCATTATCTGCTCTCCATCTGATTCCAGATCCTCCACGGAGCTCTCCAGTGGTGTGTCTGGCATTTGTTCCTCTACTTTGGACGTCACATCCACCCCATCGTTTATGAAACGTATTTCGTTGATCACTTTGCTGCTGTCCGTTGAGTCCTTCGTGGTAGTTATTTCCACGGCCAGGTGCTCGTCGTCTTCCGTGGGCGGTGTTGGTGTGTTCACGTGAATTTTGGCCGTAGGTACTTCCTCCACAGTGTCCAGACTAGAGACCAATTCGGGAGAAGTCCTCTCCAGATGGTCATGGTCCATCGCAGACTCGTATGAAAAGTTTCGTATGGGCGTCTTTTTTATCGTCTGCGGTGTGCTGGAATTACTGCTCTCGGGATATGGAGTGCGTGGGCGCAAAAGCGTTTCCTGGCTGCCTGGCACTTTCGGCTTTGGATCGACTAATTGCATCTCGTGTGCAGATTTATTCGATCTTAAAGATTCTGTGGGGGACTTGGGAGGGGTGGGTGTATGTGTAGGAGGAGTGGGTAGCTTCTGCATCGATTCCATGGGCTTGACGGGAGAGTTGAGTTGAATTGAGTTAGATTTCATTAAAGATTCATTGATTTTTGCTGGTGAACCTTTGGTTTTCACAGGGGAATCGATTAGTTCTATTAATGATTCTTTTGTATCCGATGATATTACGGGGGACTCTACAGGTGCCGTTGGCTCCATCTCTTTATATCCATCATTTGTCTTGATTGCTTGCCTGGTTGCAGCTGTGTTCGGACTATCTAATTTTTCTTGATCTGCAGCGCTTTCATTTTTATTTGCAGGTCTAACCGACTCCTCAATTCGATTAGCTTCCTCTTTTTCACAAATATTTAAATTTGGGACAATTTCATCGAAACCCATTGTGTCCTTATGTTCTTTAGTCGTAATCTCCGCACTGTCAATATTTGCATTCAAGTCCTGGTAAGAAGTTAAATCTGTCTTCTCTTCTGGTTTCTCCCCATTATTTAAATGCTTCACTGCCTCCATGGCCGCCGCTGTTCCGGCTCCTGCTACAGCTGCCAGTCCTACCACAGTAGTCGCCATTGATTGATCCTCAGTTTTCTCCATACCCTGTTGTTTGGTAAGGCTTCTTCCGCTGTGAGTCCTTATCTCCTCTTTGTTTCCATTTGCATCTGTCGGCTGCAACACAAGACTACGGCTTACGTATCGATTTGGTTCAGCTGATCCATTTACAGATGCAGACGACATCGAGGAGCGCGGTATGCCCTGCACCAAAACGTGTTGATCCCCCACTGCGATGTCCAATAGCCGCAGGTTCTTAAATTTGGAAATTTCACGGAAGGTCTTCAAATGATGGCCGCTCTCCGAGAACGTAGTGAAGAACTTGTTGGCCTTACTTAGAACCGCATAGAAGGAGAATCCCTTCAGAAGCTTCCAGATGGGTCCGTTTTCCTCGCAGTCGTAGTCATAGAAACGTTGGAAGACCAGACTCTTGTTCCGCAGCGACTCGAAGCTGCGATAGATGCTGCCTGCATTGGTCACAATGTACACTTCGCTGGTCTTGGAAATGTGCATGAAGATGATAGCCTCGGTGGGCGGCAGATTTTTTTGCAGCTCGGTGAAGCGCGGAAAGACGAACTCGTTGAGGTGGCCGGTCAGAAAGAGGTTCCCGGTGGCGGTCAAAACCAGCGTGGACTCCGGTCCGCAGGCAAACTGCTGCACCGGTGCATCTAGACGAATCTCCACAGGATGACCATCGTAGTCTGCCTCCAGTTCTCCTAGCTGCAGTTGGGCATTGGAGCCACAACCAATCAGACGACCAGTGGCTTTTAAAGACAGATTAGAATGATTAACTCACATTGATTCTATTTTCCTGTGAATACTTACTGGTCAGCACTGCAAAGTGCTCGTTGCCCGCTTGCACTGTCATAAAGTTGTCCGTCTCCTCGCTCTTGGACAGGTAATCATCGAACTCTTCCAAACGGAAAGGCTTGCGGATAATGGCGCATGGCTGCTGATCAACTTGGGCGCTCGTAAAGTGCTGGGCCACATGGGTATCCTCGGGAAAGATATTGCGACCCGTGAAAAAGATTTCATTGGAGTCTGTAGCAAATATTTATAAACGAATTATAAATATATTTAGTTAAAATGATCAAGAATGGTGTGGAAGTACGTTGTCGTAGCCTAATGTTTTTCAACTTAATATTTTTCTACTGTATTTAAATATAAACGTTACAAAAATTGTTATAGAATATTCCATTTAAACTTAGGCAATGCAACTTTTTTTTTATGTGTATACCCGTTTAATAGTCTATTATATTGGCCAATTTAATTGATATCTTAATTTTATAAAAGTTTATATTTATTTTAAGCCTTGAAATGTGTCTTTTTACTAACTACTTTGTTATATTAGTATATCCTACTCATTGAATCATAAAAACAGAACTAAGCTGCCAAATAATGGCTAAATTGCTGTCATTCACCAAACTTTTTCCCCAAAACTAAAACTTTAGTTAGACCAGTTTCTTAGGTGCCACATGCTCCGAGTTGACGAACTCCCACCACATTTGTTGATTCACTCACGTGTGAGCATCACGGCCCATTGGTTGCCGAAGGCGACGTCGCAAATCTTTAATCCGAGGGTTTTCAAGGCCTTCACGCAGGTGGGTTTGGTGACGATGTCCCCGTTGCTGTTGTGGGTGCCGCCGCCCTTTTTGCCGGAGGCTCCGCCATGGCCACCAATTCCAAGCTGTCCGTAGTGGTTCTCGCCCCAAACAAATAGCCGTCCAGATTCTGTAATTGATAAGAACAGTTTGACATTTGCTTTGGCTTTCACCTGCTGCTGGCAGCTTTTGTTTTTGGTTGTTTTATTATGTTTGGCGGGGGGTTGTTCCCTTTTCTTGACTTTTATTGATTGATAAAGTGTGCGCGCATGGTGGGTGTGGGCCAATCCCATGAATAAGCCAAACCCTCAATCCCACAACGTTTCAACTATTTAACTGCTCCCCCGCATAAGTTAACGCCTCAATTACGCTAGCTTCGGCTTTAGTTTCAGTTTCGGTTTCGGTATTTGGGGGTTTACTTCGTGAGCTTTCTCCATATTTCATGTATTTTAACGCCGCGTCTGACCCCATTAGTTGTCGAAGTTGCCGTGATTTGAAGTGCTTGGTCAGCTTTACTCGGTCTAACGTGGATTTTAAGCTTATGTAATACGGGCTTAGTGTGGGATAAATATAGTACTTTGAAAGAAATATCCCTTATGATGTATCATTAATTTTAAACTGTTTTGTTCATACATCACCAAAAATCATTTGATCGATTCATAAAACTTCAAATAAGTAAAGAAGTAGTACAGACTATATAGCATCCTATACCTAGAGTTCCAAATACTTGTCCCAATTTAATATTTTCCCTTTGCGTAAGATTCTCATGGAAGAGACGGATGTATTCAATTTCGGTGTGGATTGGCAGGATGAAATATTCAAAACACCCCTGCAATACACCTAATTCTGGTCAAAAATTGGTCGGGTTGCAAAAGCCGGCTATAATTTAGTAATTCAATAGACGACTCAACAACACGAAAAACCCGGATAACTTGGCCAGAAAGCACGGACTCAAGACTGGGCCAACAAGAAAGTGAAAGTAAGCTGAACGACGGAGCTTATTATTATTTAAAGAAAATTGCACTCAACATGCAATGCAAGGGGCACAGTCAACAGACCACTTGACCACTTGACTGGAGTCAATGGATTGGTGGTGGACATTCTAAGGATTTTGGGGTCACGTAGTTACCACAAATGACAGCGCTCTGGTTTGGACCGGAAATCAGGCGCTTCACAGGATCGTTTTTGATGTAGAAGTAACTTTGGGTATTCTCCGCCAAATGGGATTTGCCCAGGGTGAAAATGGCCCCGCTGGCAGGTATATCCATTTTGGGATTTTGTGTCTCTCTGTATTTGCGTTCTTAACTTTATATTCTAAACTTTTATTGATTTTAGCATTAGCGAGTCTCTTGCATATTTTTCGCCGGCTGCATTTGAAATGCTTATGGGGAGGCCCCTAGGCGCACATATCTGTACACAAGAATGCCATTTGGAGTTGCGTGCTCCCAATTCCCGAGGCGGTTTATTCCGTGGTTATTCTGGCCGGCACTTGCGGTCAGTCGGACGTCTCAGCGCGTACTGGTCAGCGAGGACGACTAGGACTAGCACTCTAGCAGGCTAACTGGGTAGCTGGCTAGCCATTAGCCATCAGCTCACTCTCACCACCCACAAACGGGCCATCAATATTAGGCCATTTCGGTTGGCTTTGCTTGGCCCTCATAGGTATGCTATGGAAATGTGAGCGAGTGAGTTTGGCCCAGCTAAGGAGTGAGTCACCCTACTCTGTCCGTTTTTTCCGAGTTAAGTTATTCCGTGCGCCAAAGAGCGAGTATGGGAACTCGGTTTTTCGGTTTTTCGGTCTTGGGTTTCGGTTCACCCGCTTCCCTTCATGGTATTTATGGCATTTGTGAGTAATGTTTGCAAATCTCTCGGAATACGAGCCACGTTAAAAATAACGTTATTTTTGTATGTGATTGGGTCGTTTCTTTTCCCTTTCACTGCGCATAAGTCCCGTATTCGTCTCCCCCAGAAGCAAAATTCCTTTCCCCTGACCTGTTGACATTTGGATAGGACGAGTGTGCTGCGAATTCGCGACATTTCTGAAAAGTTAATTAATTCGCGTTTGGGCTTTGGAATGGTGCCGTTTAGCCGAAATTGGGTAACTATTTTATGACCTCCAAGGCGCCGCCATAAAACTGAGCCAACTGGCTAGTCCGTCTCACATTTGCAGGCTTTCGCAGACAATTTGCGTCAATTAATTGATTTCTGCTGGCATCCCAAGAAGGTTTCATTTGATTTCCGTCCGTGGTTATGCAATAAGTGCGTTCCTATCGATTGAAAATGGCAAAGGTGTGTAGACAAAGGTTGAATAATTGTCTGACTATACACCTTAGCTCCAGAATGGTTTATCCGAATCTGATATATTTATATATTATATGTATGTATACTTATCCGATATATTTAGGTGCCAGTTATTTCTTTTAAAATATCAATATAACAAACCCATTTTGACCATGCGGACTTTAACGCCACAAACCGCCCAAACCAAATGTTGAAATTTCTCATTCGCACTACCACTAGCTGAGTAAGGGGTATCAGTTATTCGTCGCACTCAACGAATGCATTATTTCTTATTTTAAAATATAATTACAAGGGTATATAAGATTTGACTTGCCGAGGCAACCATCCTTTCTTTTATTCTATTTAGTTCAGTATTCCATTTTGCATTGCAACGTGTAGTCCCAGCTTGGAGTCTAAACTTTCTATATTATATGCCGACACTTTGCCTTCTTCATGTGAGCCTTTCGAGTATGTACTCAAATGTCTATGTAATTTATGAATCCCCTAACAAAGTTGTTTGGCCTGCAAACTGCAATTGCCTGTGCCGTGCTCTCCGCCCTTTTTCGCTTTTCCCTGTGGGTTAGGAGTGGGTATGTTCTGTTGCATGTGCCAGTTTGCCAGGGAGTTCCCCACCCTTGTCTGGAATCCGCCTTCATCCGCTGACTGTGCAGAAAAGGTGAATCTTGTGCGAGTACATGCAAATGCTGCCCACTCGTTGACCGTTGAACTCGGAACCTCTGTGGTTTTTGAGCCTATTTTTAGTGGCCTTAAGTTGTGACAATTATTCCGAGTCCAATGAACCCTCTTCGATTGGGTTAAGATGTTGGGAATGACGCAAAGCGAATCGGTCAAGAACCTGCGAGTCAGCTGCCGGAACTCTCAAGCGATGTGTCAATAGGTTGACGAATCTATTTGGCTTCTGAATTATACTTCCCGGCCAAAGGTTGATTGAACCAGGCCAGTTCAGAGGAATCGATTCGAAAAGCGAAAATGAAGAAGGGTTCCCTGCCCCAAATATAACACGAAATTAGTTGACCTTCAGCGGGCTGGTGGCAGCCAAGTCCTTTTTTCCCCTTTAGTGTTTGCGTTCTTTCTGGGGATTTGTGTTAGTCTTTTCTTATGCCGCCCAAAAAGTGGCGTGCGCTTTTCATTTCATTTTATTGCCCGACCCAAAGCTTGACCCACACACACAAACTGGAATACATGGGGGAAAAATGGCAATCATTGTGTAAATTGTTTACATCGCCTGGCGAAAGGTGCAAAAAAGAAACTTGTTATTTTCCCGGCGGCTTCTTGGAATGCTCTTATTGTTCTTCAATGTCAAGCAATATGGGCACGTTCCTGCAATTTAGTTTTGTTGTTTCACGTGGTGATTATTTGTTGTCCTGGAAAAAAATATGAAATGTGCTGGGAATTAGGCGACTGTCCCGCCCACGCAGTAATAAAGGAAAGGAAGAAACTAAATATAGTCAACTTCTCGACTTGCTTTAATTACAGAACGCAAAATGAGCGACGAAGGTGAACGTAAAACGGAGCAGCCGGAGAAATCCGATGAAGCGCAGGAAAAAAGGGAGAACGTGGAAGGGCAGGAAGCAACAACACCGACTCCCAACAGCATTTCTGTTCCAGAAGTTGATGACAAGCCGGTGCAAAAGAAAACCCAATCGGATAATCCCGAGGACAAAACGGACGAAACTCCATTTCAGGACTTTGCCGCTTACGAGGAGCACATGACCTACGGAGCGGACGGCGGGGCTATATACACGGATCCCAGCACGAAACAGAAATACAAGTGGTGCCCCACCCAAAACCAATGGCAACCCTTAAGCGCTGATGAAGCAGTTGGGTCTGGCGATCTCTACGAAAACGAGCACTACAGGTGGTGCCCCAGAACCAAACAGTGGTTGCCCAAAAAACAGGAATCGGAAACGGAGCACTACAAGTGGGATGACGAGCAAAAGGTGTGGGTACCCAAGCAACAGAACCCTGGCCAGGAAGGTGTCTACGGTGTGGATGAGCATGGCGAGCGTACTTACACCGACAAGGATGGAGTCGAGTTCTTTTGGGATGCAACCAAGAGTGCTTGGTTCCCCAAGATCGATGATGATTTCATGGCCCGCTACCAAATGAACTATGGATTCATTGACAACACTTCAGCGGGGGAGAAAGAGAAGGCTGAAAAGGAGGCGGCTGAGGCCAAGAGAAAGGAGGAGGAACTCAAGCGTATGACGGCGGAGGCGGAAGCTGCAATGTCCAGAGACAATCCAGCAACCAGCACTGCAGTGCCCACCGGCAAGCGAAAGGCGCAGGAGCCTCCAAGTACGTGGAATTCTACATCTAGTTTAATTTCTGAAGCTTTCTAATGATAATCTTATTTTAGAATGGTTTGAAATGGATCCCTCGCAGAATACAAAGGTGTATGTTTCCAATTTGCCCCTGGACATTTCCATGGATGAGTTTGCCGATCTGATGGGCAAGTGTGGCATGGTCATGAGAGATCCACAGACCCAGAAGTTCAAGCTCAAACTGTATGCCGAAAAGGATGGGCAGATCAAGGGCGATGGCCTGTGTGATTACATCAAGGTAAGTGTTTAATTAAAACCGCAGATGGAAATCTCTTTGTTTTGTGTTTTCTCAAACTTTATTATTTTACTTTGTTTGCTTCTTAACTAGTATTTATCTTGCATAAATATTATATGGTAAATTTATCATATGTTTTCGTATTACATTTGTGTACTGCTTTTCTCTTTCATGATTTCTTTGCTAACGTTTCGCTGACTATTTAGTTTTATTTGCTTTTCCTTTCCGTGTGTAGAGTAATAATATTTAAAATTGGTTAGTTTACTATTAAAATGCATTTACTTGGCTGTAAAATTGCTTTTTTTTCGTTTTCATTTCCGTCCTTGCCAGCTTTCAATTTCAACTTTAAACGAAACAAAAAGTGCTGAAAGTTGCCTTCGAGGTTATTTTTTCCTTTTTTTTTTTTGTTTTGCTTTTCGCGTTTGAGGTATTAAAAAATACATAAAAATTTACATTTAAACATACTTTAGTTATTACATACATCTTTGTAAAATATAGTTTTGTAATCTAGAAGTTAGGAATTGGTCGGTGACCATCCGATGATGTTATCAAAAGATTAATAGTAGTAAATTATTGCTTCGCTGTGTCCGATTCGAGGACACCATAGGCAAACCGAGTGTGGGGAGGCATTGGACTTGGACACTGCTGGGCAAAGGAGTTTGACCCAAAGGAGTTTTCCATTCAATCTTACGTTTTACTCGCTATAAATATTTCCGTGGTTCTGTGCTTGAGTTTAAAAATTGTTTTTTTGTGTGGGGTTATTGGCTCTAAAATTGATTGCTAGCTTCTAGTTCGGTTATTAAGGAAACATGCGTGACTGGTTACAGTGTGTTTACGGTGTGTCCTGTGTGCTGTGTGAGTATGTGGCGTGTCCATATCCTAGACCTATATATAGTATATCTTTACTGTACAGTACTAAAATAGCTGGCGAAGCGCATGGAGGTTGGGTTTCCTGCTCGATCGAAATGCAATTGAAATTGAAATTTGATTCCCCTTAACCGACAAAATCTGCTTCGCAGCGGTGTTCCTCCATTCTCCATTCTCTTCTGGTAAATAATACTTTTGCGTGTTTATCTTGTGTTTTGTTTTAATTAAAGCACTAAGAAAACAATCGAAAAGGGATCGGCAGGGCAACGGTGCGTATGTGGAACCAATTGGGATCGATATGTCTCGGTTAGTATTGGTTACTGCGGGGTGATTTCACTGCCGCCTGCACTTCAGTGGACTTCTACTCGTTATCGTCCAATCGCATGGCTTCCTGTATCCTCTTCAGTTCCTTTGCCCGATTGTCACGCTCCTTTTTCTCCTTAAGCTGCTTGCGCCGTTTTCGCATTTCGATAAACTTCTTCTGGTCCTCGAGACTCAGCGCCGAGATTCGAATAGCATACTCACGCCTCTTTTCCTCCAACTTGGCCTTGACTTCCTCGTCGGCCTTCTTCTTGGCCGCCTCCACGCGTAGCTTCTGCTCAGCGGCCTTGGCCTCTTCGGCAGCCCGTTCCTCCGCCTCCTTGGCTTTAAGCTTCTCTTCCGCCTGTCGCATGTCATCTTCCAGGCGCTGTTTCACTGCGCGTTCCTCTTCAGCCACTTCCTTCCGCAGCCTTTCCTCCTCCTCAGCTAGTTTTTTCTCCGCGGCCTCGCGGAGTGCTATATCCCGCTCGCGCTGGAGCTTCTGCTCCT